CGGTGGGTGGCGGCGCGGGGGGGGGGGCGGCTGGGGTCGGACAGGTGGCGGTGGCGATGAAGGGGTGGGGGGGGGGGTGGGAGGGGGCGGTCGGGGAGGGGGGTGGGAGGGGGGCTGAGGGTAGGAAAGGGGGGGGGCGGTCAGGGGCGGGGGGGGGGGGGGGAGGAGGGGGGGGAGGGAGGGGGGGGGGTGGGGAGGCGGGGCGGGAGGGGAGCGGAGAGGGGGGGGGGAGGAGTGTGGAACGACACGTGGGGGTCGGTGATGGGGGACCGCGTAGAGGCTGTGTGGACCCCGTGGACGAGGTACGGGGGGGAGGTCGGGGAGGGGCGGGGCTCGCGGAAGGGTCGGGCGGGGGGGGGCGGAGGGAAAGCCAGGGCGCGCAAAGGCGGAGGCGGTTGGTGAACGACGGCGGGGGAATCGGGAGAGGGGGCGGGAGCCGGGGGGGGAGGCGGTTGGGGGGGGGGGGGGGGAGATGGGGGGTGTGCGGCGGGGAAGGGGGGGCCGGGGGGGGTGTAGGGGGGGTTGAGAAGTGAGGGGGGGTCAGGGGGGGGGAGCGGGGAGACCCAAGACGGGCCGGGGTGCCTGGTGAGGGGTGTGGCGGGTGTTAGCAGGGAGAGCCGGAATGGTGCCCGTCGAGGGGCAGAGGGTGGGGAGGTGGGGGGAGAGCGGGGACGATGGGGGAAGCGGACAGGGTGGGGGATCGCGCAGGGGGCAGGGGGCGGGGGGGAGCGGGGGGAGGGGCGCGGGGTCGGGAAGGGTCCGAGGAGGGGACGGGGCTGTGGAGTGAGGGAAGGGCGGCGGGGGCCGGGCGGGCGGGCGCCGGGCGAGGGGGCGTTGGGGAGAGCGGGGCGTCGTACGTGGGCGGGGGCTGGGGTGCAGCCGGGCGAGGGTGGATGGAGGCGAGGCGTGGGCTAGTCGGGGGACGTGACCGGGGCGAGGTTTGGGGGGAGCAGGGGGGGGAGGGGCTGGGGTGGGTGGGGAAGACGTAGGGAAGGCGGATGGGTGGGGGAGGGCGGGGGGGGGGTGCGGGGTGGCGCGGGTATGTGGGGGCGGGAGGGTCAGGGGTGGAGTGGGGTGGGAGGCTGGAGGGCTGGGGAGTGGGGGGGGCGGGTGGCGGGCCCCCCGGGCGGCGGGGGGGCTGAGGGGGGGAGATTGTCGAGCGGCGGGGGGAGCGGGCGCGGGGGTGGAAGTGTCAGGGTTTGGCCGGCGCTGGGCGCGGAGGGGAATTGGGCTGGGGGCTCGGCCGGAGGGGGGGGTGGAAGTGCGGTCGGGGATTCTGTGCTGGGGGTGGGGAAGGGTGGGGAGGGGGGCAGCGCGGGGGGAAAGAAGGCACGGTTGGGGGGGGGCGGAGCGAGGGGGGCAAGGGCAATGGAGGTGGGTGGGTAGATGCGGCGGCGGGGGGAGATGTTGGGTGGCGGAGGGAGGAGGACGCGGGCCCCCGCGTGTGGGATGGACGGCGGTGCCAGCCGTGGAGCGGGAGGGGGCGGTGGGCAGGCGCCCGCTGGAGGGTGGGGGGGGGGGGGCGGGCGCAGGGCGGTACGGGGCGGGGGGGGGGGAGGGGAAAGGCGAGCAAGGGGAGGACGGGTGGGCGTGGGGGGCGAGCCAGGCGAGGGTAGGGGGGGCGGGGGCGGGGGTGTGTGAAGGTGAAGGCGGGCCGGGGGGCGGGCGCATGGGGGGTGGGGGGGGGAGGGGGGGTGGGCGGGGAGGGGCGGGACGTGGAGGTGCGGTCGAGTCGGTGGGGGAAGGGGCAGTGGGGGGGTGGGGAAGAGGGTGGGGTGGCGCTGTGGGGGGGTTTTGAGGTGGCGGGGGGTGTAGGGGGGGGGGGGCGGAGTGGGGGGGCCGTGGGGTGTGGACGATGGCGGGGGAGCGGGTGCGGAGCCAGATTCGGCAGTGGCCGGCGCGGGGGAAGGGGGAGAGGGGACGGCGGGGGGGCGGAGCGGCATGGGGGGGGAGGGGGCCGGAGGTGCGGCGTGGGTGCTGGCGGGCGGGGTGGGTGCGGCGTGGTGGGGGGGGTCGGCGGCACGCGCTGGGGGCGGGCCGGGGGAGGGGGGTGGGGTGGGGTGGGGCGGGGACGGGGAGGGGGCAGGCGGCTAGGGGAGTGGGGGGGGAGGGCATGGTGGCGGAGTGGGTGGGGCGGGGGGGGGGAGGGTGGGGAGGGGGCGCCGGGGGGGGTGGTGGGGGGCAGCAATGGGGAGGGGGGGGGGGGGAGGGGGTGCTCGGGGGGGTGAGGTCTGTGGAGGGAGTGGTCGGGGAGGGTGAGTGGAGCGGGCGGGGGTAGGGTGTGGCGCGGAGGGGGGGGATGCCCCGTTGGGGGGGGATTGTGGGGGGGGCGGAGGGGTTTTTTAGTTTGTTTTGTTATTTTTTCTATTATTTTGATCGTTTTATTGGTATTTGATGGTTTTGTCTTTTATTGTGTTGTTGCCTGATCTTGTTGTGCCAATGTTTTTGGGTACTTGTTCTTTTTGTCTGTTGTAGTGTCTTCAGCGGCTCCAATCTCGGTCCATTCACCGCCTTCAAGGAGACAAAGAATTATTTGTGTTGGCGGCGTTCGGCGTAGCATTCCATCTGTTTCGCCATCGCCGTCCACAGTGCATTTTTTATGCGACGGAGCTCTCGGGTCAGTCGACGTCGATATTTGCGAAACATACAACTCTTCCCCAACTCACTGGGGTCTGCAACATGTACAGCAAATGCTGCATTCTTCTCCGACACCAATGCGCCGATCGGCGTATTGTTCTCATCAAACCAATCAGGCCGCTTACAGTTTGCGCGCCCGATGGACTCCTCGGCAGCAGCTGTCACCTGGTAGCGAATGTGGTGCCACAGGTTGCCTACTGTGGATATGCAGTCCACCTCACACAGGCGTGCAGCCACCGCCTTCTCCAGCTCAGTACGTTTCGCCACAGTACCGAGGGACAGAATGTTAAATTTACGCCGGTTCATGGCTGAAGTGCAATACATGGATTTACGAAAATATATGCACAGTTTGGTCCGCACCAATTTGTGCTCAGTGCCACACTCAGCTCCACGAAGTACACGTGTCATGCGCACTTCACGCCTATCATACTGACGTACGATGACATAGTCGAGCATGGAAGGGTGACCACTCCCTGGGTACGTCCAAGTTGCTGTATCACGCGCACACAGGGCACTCCAAGTGTTCGTGATCGTCAGACCGTGAGTGGCACACGGTGGGAGCATCCGGTTACCGTTCGCTCTAGATGAACCAATGCCATGCGCACCGATAACATCTGTCCACACCGATGTATCACTCCCAACGCGCGTTTAAATCACCCAACAGAAATAGTCGGTCGCACCTCGCCACAGACAGTATCACGGAGGATAGCTCAGTGTAAAATTGATCACGCGTGTCATCAGGATAATACATGGTCGGACGGTATGTGCTTATAAAGGTGGCAAACTTACCTCTTCCGAGTCGTAGGCGAACAGTCATCAGTCGCGCGCTGATGTACGTTGGTTCACCCATCAGCTGGCCATGGAGGCGATCGGATATGGCATACCCGACCCCATGTTCACGTGGTGCTGAGGCGGCGTTGCCCATCCAGTAGAATGTGTAGCCATCACATGCTTCATGCAATTTACCTTGCTCAGCGAGCCGCGTTTCACTGAGCGCCGCAATATCGATGTTGTAGCGCGCCAGTTCCATCGCGACGAGTGCAGTGCGTCGCTCCGGGCGCTCGCTGGAGTTCCGGTCTAGTAGTGTGCGCATGTTCCAGCACCCGATGCTGAGTGCTTTGCGCGCAGGCATACGATTGCATTGGTGGGCAACCGCACGCGAGGTGGCCGTTGTGCTTCAGAGGTTTGCTTGAGGGACTCCACCCGGAGCCTTTGGCTCACTTGCCTGACCCACAAGGCAGTGGTGAGCAGATCCACCTCGGTGATATGATTGCAGAGACAGCTTTGGATCTGCTTGAAGACCGTCACACGCAGCCTTGGAGGTACTGGAACGATTTACATATATTTTGCGACCGTAGTAGGATGCACCTGCGACCACGGCCAGACGCAGGTGGGTTTTGGCCGGTTTGCACCAAGTTGACCAGGGGATGTCTGGCTTAAGGCGGGCAGTAGCAAACAAAAGAACACACGGAGGTGCCCTCCCACCGTCAGAGAAAATGCGTGGCGCTCGTGCTCTATGCCAATCGAGCTGTAAGCTTATAACCGGTAGACCTATTGTCTCCCATGGCTAGGTTTTACAGGAAGAGGGCCATCGATCACTTCCTAACCGCCGAAGAGTTTGGACTAGGACACTGGCAGGGCGCCCACTGCTGACAGGAGAACTACTCGGGTCCTCAGCCAAAGCCTTCTATTAAATGAACACCCGAAAGGCAGCGGGTCTAGCACATGGTCAGTTCACTGACTCATGCGGATTGGTGTCCTGGATCTTAGCATGGAGAAGGGCGAAACCCAACTTCCACCCAGCCGTCGCCACGAGGAGGCGCCCAGGACATGAGCCAATGAGATAACAGTAGCAGCAGTGGGTAGACCATCTGTCAGGACCTAGCCACCACCAGCTTCAGCGCACCATAGGCTCTCCCGCCGTATATGTATATATGCAGATTGATTCATATTTGGTCTGTGCATTCCTTTTACATTTGCATACTCGCATCAACTCAATTACATGTCATTATATTTACAAACACAATCGTCTTATAAAGGACACCTCACAGATACCAGCATTACCCATTGGCATTGTACGTTTAGTAATGCATTAAGTATACCTTTCAATACTCATTCACATTGCCATTCTTCATTACCATTCCCCCATCCCCTCTAACACTTCCGTAATTTGTCCCCTTATTGGACCATACATCTTTTGAATGACCTAATGCCTTCCAACAGCAAATTACACCTGCAATGCAAGTATGGATTCCTCAATTATTCAATTTTGGCTAATAAACACGGTCTCTGTCATCGTGGTTTCAATAAGTACAACATATACAATAATCGGACAAGAGATATGAATACCATTTATCCAAGGAAGTAAGTTACTTTTACCAGTTTCCTCATGCAAGCATAATTTTTGCCTACATGAATCAATTGCATTAACACTTATTTAGTCCATCAAACATCCGTTCATACCACTTATATTTACCAGTTGCCTGCTTTCGCTTGCGCCGTTACCTTCAACTACACCTGTGGTCCTCACTTTAATTTCTCATAACCGTTTACAGGAAGCAAATCCATATAATATTAGCTTTTATTTCCCACACCGTAATATCACCAGAATTAAGAATATACTATGCAGCCACTCAAACTACCTTGGATGTCACCGAGGACCATGGATGCGAAAAACTTTCCCGCCAATACATAAATTAGCCCTTCCTAGTTTAGCACGCGAGAATTCAATTATTTTTTCTCGTTTGCATTTTTGATGAGTTCGTTCGCTTTTCTCGATTATATACCTGTATTCATTTCTTGTTGGCGCAATTTTAGTACGTTTATCGTCCTTTTGTTCATCCTTTAGCTTTTTGACCCACATTTCGAGTGCTGTATCTGAGTCGTTTCACAGCGC